TAAAACGAAGAAGCTAAAGTATATTGTAAGTACTATTAAGTATGATGGACTATTAATATCAGAAGGGAAAAGATAAAAAAAATAAGAAGCCACACGCATACATATTGCATTTTAACGCATATTAGGTATTATACGTATTATTATAGGATTGTAAGGATTCATAACTGCCTAATAACTGCCTAACAGGGGATGGAAGGATGAATAGGTGAAAAAAAAATAATAATAGGAAGGATAATAAAAAAAAAGGTGAACACGATGCAAGCACGCACGCATCATTCTCATCCCTAATACGATTTGTGGATACGAAAAAGCGTGTGCTTGTGACTATAAAACACACATACACATGCATAGACACACAAATGCGCAGGGACACATACACACACACACACACACACACACACAGTTGCGAATATTTAGCCGAGCACGTAACGTAACGTGTCCACACTATTAAAAAAAAAGACGATGATTCGTGAGACTCGTGGGTATTAACGAATAAAAAAGAAAAAGATAAATGGAGAAAAAAAAAATAAAAAATAAAAAAAAAATAAAAAATAAAAATAAAATGAGGAGAAGCGTTCCTGCACGTATGCGAGCGCACGGTATTAAGTTTTGTCGTCTTTTTCGTTGAAATCGTTTTTTAAAAGCGATAATAACAGAGAAGTTCCGCTTCTAATCAAGGAGAAAACGTTTATCGTGCGTTCGTCGATCGGTTTATCGCGGTCGAATAGTAGCAGCTACTGATTTTTTTCTTTGTCATTTTTCTTCTTTTTTTTTTTCTTTAATCACACACTGTACTCGAGAGAACGAATTAATTACGCACGTTAAATAATAGTTTTCTATATGTCACGTCTTTTACTCAACGAATGTTAACCCTACGTCAGGCATTTACCCCAGAGAAGATGACTTCTGGATCAAAAAAAGCAAAAAAACAAAAAAAAAACAAAAAAAAAATAGAAAAAAGTATGAAAAAATATTAAAAGAAAGAAAGAACTGCCACCTTTTTTAGCATAATAATATTTATAGCGAATACGTAGTTGAAAAGGCAATTGTTCCTCGGGAGACTCTTTTCTTTCTTCGTTCGTTCATCGCTCGATATTTATTTATTCGCCGAAGATTGTTCGTTTAAGAGCCAAGTATGAAATTTATTATTATCGATTTGAATATTTACGCAAATATTCTTCATTTCTTTTTACATATTATATTTCACCAACGCCATAGGCGTTTAAAGATTAGTATTCCTTCTAACGATATATTCTAACGTTATTTCTAACTTCTTATTGATAGTTTTAAAGTAAGATTTTTCGTAGGATAAAGTTTAAACAACAAAATAATATATTGTCTTTTTTTAGCTGTTCATCTATCTTTTTTTTTTGTTTTTTTTTTCTTTTTTTCTTCTACTTCTCGTTTCACGGAAAATGTAGACTTTGTCGATTCGGTATCGGCCTACTTATGATTAGATACATACGAAGTCGATGATGCATTCTACGAGTAGCTCGTGAACGTGTAAATAAATTTACGAACCGATCATGATTTTTGAGAATAGATTGAGAGGTCTCCATGAAGAAAGTGGAAAGAAATTCTAAATCGTGATTTCGATGACTTCTTCGCACTACATACGGCCTAATCGTAATTAGTCTCGAGAGAATAGAAGTGCAGTTCGTGAAATATTCAAGGAGCATCGAAACTTTGGAATAGAATCGTTTCGAAATAGTTTGAAACAAACGATCGGAGACCGTTTATTTTCGAAGCTTGCTAATAAATAAATGTTAATTAATTAATCGATTATTATACTATTAAATTGATCGAACAAATTTGTTCGAAGCAAAAATTTTTTTTATTTTCATTGAAGTTGATAGAAAATTTCGCTCGAGACGAACGATCGATTCGTGGCGCGTTTCATAAAACGAGAAGTGATCTTTAAAATCTTTAAAGTGATCTTTAAAATAATTTTATTTGTTAAACATTAACGAACGACGAGATAAATTTGAGAATCTGTAACTTCAGAAAAAAAAAAAAAGATCGGTGACTCCCAACAACTTTCGAACGAGGAGTCTCCATATCCGATACGCGAAGAGACGTAATCTTCGTGTAATTATTTTTGTATAAGAGAATAATTTATATGGGATTGTAGCGTATTGGTTCGTACGGGAAGTATCATTCGAACTACTTAGTTCGCTAAAATAGGTAGAGATTATTTCGCGTATAATATATTAATAATATAAGTTAACACGTGCACTTATCCGGTGAGAAATAATCCACTGCCATTAGATGGTTAAAAGCGTTTATAATTGATTACTTCGATTTTGATAAAATTCATTATCGATTTATTCCATTATTAAACGATAACGTACCAACTTATGCACGTGGATTTTTTCATAAAAGAAATTCTTTCATTCTGATATTAAATCTACATAGTTCTTTGTTCAATTAATTTTAAAAATTTGTAATATAAAGGGAAGAAAAAACATATACGCGCACGCACGCCTAAAATCGTAAATAAAGTGATCGCGAAAAAGCGTATCGATTCTTCTCACCGCTCTCTCCGTAATTCATAGTCCAATTTAAGCATAGGTGTACCATAACGGCATACATACGTCATATTATTACATTGATACGACTTTGTAAGTATTAATAGCCGTATAAGCTCGCTTATATCGTTTCGTTTATAACTCGCTCCGACGTCGACCTTCGAAATAAATCCTTTCCAGAAAATCGGCCAGTCGATTTTTCTTACATATACATAGGTGCGAATTAATGTGAATCAACGTAAAATGAATTTTGAAAGTAAAGGTGAAAAAAAAAAGAAAAAAGATACGAGATAGACAAAGAAATCAGTCAGATGATAGTCGATTCGATAATTCTCGAATTTGATTCGATCAACCAAAAAATAAAATAAACGAATAGAGAAATAGATGCATACGGATTAAAGAAAAATTTGATATCAGCGAGGAGAAGCCATTTAGTATGAAAGTGGTACGTTAGGAAAATAGAATAGAGAAAAGAAGAAACTAAAAAGAGATAAGGTGGAGAGAAAAAAAATAACAGAGAGAGAGAGAGAGAGAGAGAGAGAAAGATAGAAAGAGAGAGAGAGAGAGAGAAAGAGAGAGAGAGAGAGAGAGAGAGAGAGAGAGATGGCGTTTTATCGCGAGGCGTACGTTTGTATTGGACAATAATAACTGGCAAAGAAGGATGATGAATTAATTAGCGATGAAAAGAGTGTTGGCTTCAAAATGACCCCTCGTCAATCTTTCACGGCGATTATTTTAAATGTAAAATTTTTTTCGTTTTTCGTCTTAGCCGTCTTTATTTTATTCTTTTCTTTAGATTGAAAATATTCCTTGTAGAACTTTTCATATAAGTTATAACAATTTTTTAATTATTCTTTATTGTTTTATCCTTTTTTTCTCAATACGCGAACCTTACGATACAAGGACCGACACTCTTTTCCCAATATAATAAACGAAATTATTACATTTTTTAGAGTACTCTGGATTCTATGTTGGCAAAAAAGAGAGAGAGAAAGAAAAAGAGAGAGAGAGAGAGAGAGAGAGAAAGTTTGATAGAAATAAAACGGAGAGAAAGGGAGAGTGCGTGTGAAAGAGTTAGGATGTATGAACATAACATAAATTCGTGAGAGCATGATCATGAATCGAAAGGGAAGAATGGAATTTGTATAAATGTGTCTATCGCGAAGCACGTTTTACCAAATAAAACTGGAATACTGCATGCCTAGAAATACTATAGCTCTATACATGTAGGTATTAAATTAGGTATTAGCGTGAAAGCAAAACATCTATGTTTATATAATGTAACAAATCTTCGAAATATGAATGCAATTAAATAAATGTATGTAAAGTTTACAACGATCGTTTAGTGCCACATATATTATCTTTTTGTTTCATTTTAAAAATTTTTAATTAATTAAAATATTAGTCAACTCCTGAATGTGAGCAACCATTACATTGTCGGTAATCGTGGTAAATGAATATTATTAGTAGTAGTAAAGAAATCTCTATTGGTATGATACACGTTATCTTATGAAGTTAGAAAGAAATCTATATTATCGACATCTATTTGTAATCATCGAAAAAAGTTTTATCATTTGAGTCAACAATATTAATTCTAAATGTAAATTACCATCGTAGAAATTTTCTCTTTATTATATACTTACCTTTTATCGATATTTATTTTTGATTAAAATAATTTAAAGAGAACGGTAGATACAAAAAAGAAGAAAAAAAAAAAAAGAAAAAAGAAAAGAAGATAAATATTCGATCGTTGAAATAAATTATTCGAGAAGCACGTGATATACTGTAATATTTTATTCGATATATCGTGATAATGTGTATGTTTTGCACATTCGTTGCGTATACAAATATATTTTCAATGACAGTTCATCGCATCAATGAACATCGGCATCGGCATTTTAAGGACACGGTAAGAGGATTATTAGATGATGTCGATGACATTATTTATTTCTAAGGTGTTCAACGCGATAATTTACGTATGAGTATATATATATATATATACACATATATTTGAATGTATATATATATATTTATAAAAGATTTTTCTCGTCGAATATATTATGAATTATCGTACGCATTAGAAAAGTTTACCTTCGTAGTTTGAAAGGAATTATTGGATTGATCTAGATATGTATATAATTTGACGATAACGACGCAATTTTAACTTAACTTTTTTGTTCTTCGCATATCGCAGAGATACTTTGTGGTTACATAAATTATACCTATTAGTTTCTAATCCAACATTGATTTTTGATAGAATATTAATTAATGTTTGAAATAAATAAAAGACGATAATACGATGTTCTTAAAAAGAAATAAAGAAAGAAAAAGAGAATGATAGAAATAGAAAAAAAATAATTTGTTATTTGCTCTCAGCCAATATCTTTCGAATGTTTTAACAGAAAAATCCAAAACATTGATTATCAAATTTACATAAAATAATAAATTAATTAATAGGAAATCAGTACCGATTTGAGATTATTTGTTGTTCCTTATGCATTGATTATTTTGAATTGAAACTGAATTTTCGTAGATTCATACATATGTATGTATTTTGATACATTCTCCATGCAATGTTGATTTTAGGCAAATCTCTCGACACTATTCACGAAGATTATAATCTAGCATAGAGGAACGTTCTATTATCGTAAACTCAATACCAATCGAACTCACAACTGTGTTATCGAAAGATAAAATTCACGAGCTAATTTATCAAAATTTATGCTCGCGAGAAAATGTTTTTGAAAAATCGCATGTTAAGTTTTTCCATAAAATTTCATCCTATTTCTTATCGACGTTCCTCGATGAAAGAGATAAAGAGTTCCTTGATATATCGTCGAAAGCTTTGACATTACTCTCGAACCGGATTCGATTTTCGTAGGTCGACGAGTTGGAAACTACTAGCCCCTCGAGTCCTCTATCTCTCTATCTCTATCTCTATCTCTATCTCTATCTCTATCTCTATCTCTCTCTCTCTCTCTTTCTCTTTCTCTCTAGAGTGGTTAATTTGGAAGTCTTCACAGGAGGACCTAACGCGTCTCTAATTCAGAAACAACCGAGGGTCAAACCGATACTAACGTAGAGTTAAACCGTAGCTAATCTGAGCTCTAATCCATTCCTGAATTAGAGAGAGAAAAGGAGAGAGACAAAGAGAGAAAGAGAGAAAGAGAAAGAGAGAAAGAGAGAAAGTGAGAAAGAGAAAGAGAGAGAGAAAGACAAGTGGCACTGGCTCAAACTCAGAGTTCAACCGATCAATTACAACGATCTTTGAAGAAAGTAAATAGAACTTTTCTCATTGTGAAACGTAAGAAGCTATAGTACCGTAAACCTATATGTATGGTATTGTATATATATATATATATATATTGTATATGTACAGTTACATTTGATCCACGAACCATAAATGTCACGCGAGCGTTTGTTAAAAATATAAAGAAGAAAATTGCGTGATCGTTACGAAAAGATACGTTAACGAACGCAAGATGCGCTGAAGCAAAGGAAAATTTCTCTCTCTCTCTCTCTTTCTTTCTTTCTTTTTTTCTCTCTTTTTCTATCTATCTATCTACTTATCTATCTATCTATTTATCTAACTATCCATCCATCCACCTTTTTCAGTTCACTCGTTCACTCGTTATCAGAATATCCAAGCCATGCAGGGACTTTTCCTATACAGGAAACATCGTTAGGCGGTTAGATTTCTTCTTCGGCAGCGTATTCCGAAACGAAACTCGTTTCTTCCATTTTTTATTATTCCTTTTATTTCCATAATCCACAACTGAAAATCGCCTTATTCGTACTACTTTCTGCAGTATCTATTTAATCATTTTTGATATAAATAAGATTGATCTTCACGTTCTCGATGCATTCTTCCTCCACGTCGCAGGGGTTGGTACTTTCCGTTCGGTATGATTCAAGGCCGTTTGACTTTTGAAGCACTTCCGACACGTTAATCGCCAAAATGCTAACCTGAAGTCGGCCGAGTAAAATGCGTAGATGAATGGATTTATCGCTGAATTTATCCAACCTAAGATAGAGAAACATCAAAAGAAACGAATCGTAAATTTACGTTCGTTTCTTTTTTTCATAATACATAGTTTAAGTGAAAAAGTTACGATTATTCTGGTGAGAAGAAGGGAGGAGTATCGTTAAGAGCCACGAATCGATCGTTGAAGATGTATTGCTCTTTGAACGGCAAAAGTTCACCAATAAAATTGTTGCCTGCACTGGCGACGTAGTGAGAAAAGTTTTTATCGTATTTCAGAAAGAAATACTTCCTCCTTCTCACGAGTGTTGCCGACGTGCGCCTCACGATCTTTTCTGCATAGATATATAGAAACCAGAGTACGTATATATGTATGTATGTATAGTGTTTATCTACATATCTACTTTCTCTTTCTCTCTCTCTCTCTTTCTCACTCTCTCTCTATCTCTCTCTCTCTCTCTCTCTCTCCCTCTTCCTGTATTTCTTTTTCTTCCTTCTTCCTATTTATTCTTTTCTTTTTTCATTTTTTTTTATATTATATATTTATATATCATATAATTATATTTTATATTATATATATTATATATTTATATATAATAAAATAATATAATAAAAAAGAAATATATATATATATATATTTATATCTATTATTATCTCGAATGAGATTATTTTCATAAATATTACATTGAAAAAGTTGTACTATGAAATCCTATGGTAATATGTAAGGTTTTATAAATAATGCTTACTCTTATTTTTTCCTTTTTTTTTTGTCTCTATTTCACTGTTTTCATATAAAATATAAGTTTGCTTTTTCCTGCCCCTCGAGCAATCTTCATAGATTATCGAGGAAAACGAACGATTTCGATAGCAAGGAAATTCGATGGGTTGTAGAAAAGACGACTACGCGACACACGTTTCGCTTCAAATCCTCACAGGAATTCTTAGAACGTTCTACCACCATCAAAGTTCGAGCGAAGGTTTTGATAAAAATTGCATTTCCTGATAAGTAGAACGGTAGTACACGAATTCTAACTTTGTACTTCGCTTATGTATATAAGTATATAAGAGAAAACACGGTGAGATATGTGATTCAGGATATACACAGATACGTATATTTATCTACATACATAGATATACAATATATTTCAAAATATAATTTCTTTTCAATCTTTTATTTGCCTATAACGGAGAATTGATATCTCATTCTTGTGTATAGATTCACAAAGAAAGCAAAGAATATCAAAATAGACGAGAATCGTGAAAGAGAAATACAGAAATGATAATTTATGTAAAGGCCTCTCAAATGGATTACTCAATTACTGATTTTGAGAACGTCACCAGAAAGAAACAAAGAAAAGAGAGAAAGAGAGAGAGAGAGAGAGAGAGAGAGAGAAAAAGAGAGAGAGAGAAAGAGAGAGAGAGAGAAAGAGAGAGAGAGAGAGAGAAAGAGAGAGAGAGAGAGAAAGAGAGAGAGAGAAAGAGAGAGAGAGAGAGAGAGAGAGAGAAGAGAACGAAATTCATTCGTACGTATGATTGTCGGTACCTAGCCACGTTAGTGCCGGCATCAGAATATTCGGTGGTTCCATCGGGACGAACGGAGTGGCAAGATAGAGAATGAAGAATGGTAACCAACAAGCCACGAAACCGCCCACTACTACTGCCAATGTGCCAGCGGTTTTCGTTTCCTTTGCTACCCTGTTGATGCAGCTCTGCTGATGACCTCGAATTATACCCACTTTCTTGCAACTGCTTGTAGTTTCACCCTCGTTCGACGTCCTTTCGCAAGTATCACTATCCACCGTACACTCCAAACGACGAATCTTCATGCTCTTTGTACGTTCGATCTATGTAAAAATCAGGTAGGCATATAAATCAAATTTATAACAGTTCTTTTTTTTCTTCATATAAATTGATAAAATTATTTTTGGGAATAGATTTTTGTAAATTTGATTTTTTTAATTATTTCTTATTTATTATTGAATTAATTATAAAGAAAAAAAAATTAAATATATTATAGAAATTATAAACAATTTTTTAAATATTACTAACAACGAAAACTAGGATAAAAGCAGAAATATTTCGAATCATCGATCGGATATCGCGTGATGTACAACGAACCGTATTAGCACACTTCAGCACGTATCAAAGATGTAGAGAAGGAAGTAACGAATATAACATGCTACTTTAGATGGGAACGATCGTTAAATGTTTTCCAGGACGTCGAAATTTATTCGGAACTTTCATAAATTGGTTGTGTAAGTTTATGGAAATAAATGCACCTACTATTATGAAAATGTATAATATTTCCGGAACGATCAGGAAAATTATTTTGGTCGAAATGTGATGGAAAAAATAAATCATAAATTATTTGAAAATATTACCGGTGCATTTCGAGTTTGTCGACGAGTTTTTTCAGAGTCACTGGTCTCCAAATTTCTGTGTCGACTAGCTATAACGCAGGAAATCCTTCCGTATACATAAAGCATGACTAACATTGGTAAGAAGAAAGACCCGCAGGCGGAGAATATGACGTAAGAGGAGTCCATGTTGTAGGAACACTTTTTGCTATCGCGATTAGTTGCCCGTGGGAAACAGCCAAGAAGAGGTGGGCTCGTAATCGCACCTGCTAGTATCCAGACAGCTACTATCATTAAACCAGCCAATCTCTTACTTCTCCGTCTTCGGCTGTAGATTAATGGTTGAGTCACCGCGAGGTACCTTCAAAATGATACATTTGTAAAGCCGTAATGAGATCATACGAATATACGTATATAACAAAATAATTTATTAAAAGGATTTGATTCAAAACTAATAATAATTAATAAGATTAACGAGATGAAAATTAATTATAATTATTTACGTTTACTTATTAATTTAATTCTTTTAAAATGTCTGGGAACTTTGACATAACTTTTTTAATCCCTTTATGGGATTACCAATTCTTCAATATAAGCTTGTATTACACGATTGTTCAAGCCAAAGGAGTCTTGAAAAATTTCTTAAACATTAACGGCGCTAATTAACGTCATTATCGACGAAATCTTCAACGAAAACTCCAGCCATTTACAATAATTTATTTCAAATATAAAATATAAAAACCATTTACGATAATTTATTTCAAATTTCTGGATGATCAAACTGGAAAGGATAAAATTATTTTATACACGTCATACATGATAATCCTTGAGAAATATTATTTTCAGGAAAAAAATCGTCAAATCACAAGTTGATCTTATAAACATTTTATCGATTGCACAATCACATAGACTCGAATCAAAGTTGGAATTTGGCCAATTTTAGAATCAATTTTCCAATTGAATGTACGATAAAAAGATTAAAATATAGTATCCCTAAAAGACCAAACTATTAAATTATTGCCAAACTTAAAGGGATATCCGAAGAAAGTGAATTCACGTAAGTACAATAAATATAATATGTATAACGAAATAGAAACAAATATTCAATTTTGCGAGAGTGGTGTGCAACGACCACAAATTTGAGTCACGAAAAGCAATCGAGTACGGATGTATCCTTAGCTTTTCTTATTTAACAGGACACTTTTCACAGCGGCTTTAATCTGTAGCTTGATAACTTTTGACGCAAAGAAATAAGAGTAAAAACGTGAAAGTGACACGTGCGAAAAATCACGAGACGGGAGATCATATACTCTTATCGTAGAATGTGAGTAAGATGAAAGATGAGAAAATTGAGGAGAGGAAAGGCGAAGGTAAAAATCTATCGTACGGTGCATGGACTATGCGGAAAATGAACTTTTCGATAATCTCGTTAAACTTATGTGACGAGATTCGCTACTACGTACATAGGATCTTACCTGTCTATAGATATTGCACACAACGATAGAATACTAGCTGTGCAGAGAAGAATGTCCAAGGACACCCAAGAGTCGCACAAGATTTCACCCAATTCCCAGCTTCCGCCGTTCAACTTGTCCATACGACATAATAGTAATGTGAAAAGACAGAATGCAACGAAAACAAAAGAGAGAGAGAGAGAGAGAGAGAAAGAGAGAGAGAGAGAGAGAGATGGTATTGTCAAGACGAATTCTAGTTTCTCGTTTGATAGCCAGATTGAACATTCGTAAGAACGTGTTGGTTGTCCAAGGAGAAAGGAATAATACATGACATCGATTGAATTCAATTTCTGGAAAATCTTTTGCTTGTCCTGGATAAAGCTTGATACGTCTCACGACTCAGAACTTATATCCCTATATATGTTCCTTTCATAAAAAGAGAAATATTACTTTTTTCCTAACGATATAGATATCTTCAAAATGTAATGAAATATTTCAAATCAATCGGATGCTTCCTATTTTTGTATTTGCTTGAAAAAAGGATCCATACATTTCTATTAAATATCATATATGCATTCCTTTCTCCGAAGATCACAAACCGCGGACTGAATTTAAATCGGCAAATTGAAATTTATCTTCCTATCTATTTTTATTTTCATTTTTAACGATAATTTTAATATTTTCCACGATAAAAATCGGAAGAGTAGCAATTCAATAAAAATGCGATCGTGCATGAAGGTAATTAAAAAAGAGATAAAGGTTTGCTAATTATTATAATATTACGCGCTATTACATTTCATTATGTTTTATTTTGTTTTATATCTTTAATATAATCGCATCCACCCATATTATACTTTAATGTATGTATCTGTAATATCATGTTCGGGCATGAACGGATCGTAACAAAAGAGAGAGAGAGAGAGAGAGAGGGAGAGGGAAAGATTTATTACGTCTGCTCTCAGCATTTATTAAATTTATTGAAAAGTATTCTGGAAGCGTTCTTTATATTTTGAAACGTTTCGATTTTGCTTTATATATCTATTTTTTATAGAATATCGAATGACTATGAAATTTATAGAGATACCTTGAAATTTTTTTAAAAAGTATAACTGTTTCAAAGTTATGTAAAAGTAGAACTTCTCACTGTGATGTGGCTAAGATGCACTAACTCCTTGAAAACTTAGCTTCGATATTTGTTCAGTGCGAAACTTCGCTATCAGGAACGAACCAATTTTTATGTTAGAATTTCGAGATGAATAATATGAAAGAGAGAGAGAGAGAGAGAGAGAGAGAGAGAGAGGTTTGGAAATAAGCAAATAGAATAAGACGAATGTATTTTCTTGGATTTTTCCAGACGAAAGGAAAGATTTTTATTTTCTCGATTATTATTCTCATCAAAGAATATTCTTAATTAAAAGAATTTTCGAATGAAAATATTCGAAGGATTGAAAGCCCGAAATCCCTGACGTTCTGTCGTGTACACACGAAGAACGTCCTAATTTTCTAGACTAATTGTGGATGTTCAAGATCGTCTCGATTGGATCGCGTTGATGAGCTCCATTATATTCCACGTCGAACTCCAATCTAAATGTAAAATCACCATTCGTTACCTCGGACGACGATCGCCGATTTTACCTTCAGAGTATTAACTACGTAGAAGGTGTCCGCGATTGATGAGCTTAATTTCGAAGAAGGTTCATCGAGTATCAATTGGGAAATGCTCAATCGATCATAAAACTATAACCGAGACTGTTGAATCTAAACGAGGTAGTATTCGTCCATCAACGATTAATTGATTGTCAAAAGAACGAAATTCGAATAGATTATAATATTTGAAAATATTCCTGAACCAAATAAATATCGACTTTCAAAGGATATTCGTTCTCTATTAATATGAATATGTACATTTATTAATTTCTTTTCCTTCATTTTTTTATTTCTATTGATAATAAAAAAAAAAAAAAGAAGGAAATTAATATACTCGAAAAAAAAAAATAAGAGGAAAAAAATGAAAAAAGAAAACAAAGATATATCGATTAGTAACAAACAGATCAGACAAAATTAAATAATATATATATATATATATATATATATATATATATATATATATATATATATATCTATTATTATTTCATGATTACTAATCGTTATTGAAAAGAATTAGCTCTCAATAACAATCAATTCCTTTGCAAGATGAGACAAGACAAAACAGCGAAATTAAAATTATGAAAAATGTAAGAATTGGTGAAGCATATCAATGATGTTCGCGTGACTGACATGAATTATATGCGATGAGGGCACTTGCCCGCCATTCACTGATTACCAATTAAGCTTGACGCAATGTCGACGAGGCAGAAGAGACGTTGCATACCTCTCTCTCTCTCTCTCTCTCTCTCTCTCTCTCTCTCTCTCTCTCTCTCTCTCTCTCTCTCTCTCTCTTTCCTCCTCTTTCTCTCTTGATCGTGGTATATATATATATATATATATATATATATACACACATATAATATATATACACATACACATATACTGGTATGTTCTTCAGCTTAACATAGACATACCTGTAGCAGTACAGCCGGTGGCATTACAGCCAAACCAACCAATAAATCCGCGGCGGCCAGACTGGATACGAAACAATTAGTAACGGACCTTAGTCGTCTCGTCGTAATTACCGCTGCTATCACCAGTGTGTTGCCGACCTACAATGGAAATACGTACAATACTGTTTACGCGGAATTCCAATTTTCATAGGATGGAAAATATAATTGACAAGAAACAGGGATAGATCTAACTGGATGAAGATAGAAAAGGTATCGTTGCCATTTCGTTCGTGTGAGTTCGCCTGCTGGCAAACGAAGCTTCGAAATTGTTTTGTTTTTTTCTTCAACGAATAGAGGAAAAAGAAAAGAAATGCAGAGAAAAAGAGAAAACGGAACGTAAGATAAAAAGCTTTAAAGAGCTTTCACTTTCTTTAGCTAAGGAAAGAAGAAAATAATTAGTGAACGTAAAAAGGTATTCAATGATTTATCTTTTTCTTTGGATTATTCGCGTAAAGTTATTAAAAAAGCACATTTATTTTAAAGTAAAAAAGTTCGGAGTGATATTTTTTTACTTCTTAGTTTAGTAATAAATACTTCTAACGAATGATACATAGGAAGTATCAAATATTTGCCGATTCATGAGAGAGAAGAGAGAGAGAGAGAGAGAGAGAGAGAGAGAGAGAGAGAGAGGAGAAAAAAGTGTCGCCTTAAAAAAAAAGAAAGAGAGAGACACAAAACAAAGAGAAAAGCTTAATCCATTGTTGCAAATATTTTCGATAGAAAAACTTAACGAGATTATCTGTATGAAATCACCTATAAATCAACGATTTAAATTCTTCGGTCATTCGTCGATATAGAGAATCGAGTCACAGGCGAAATGTTAATTTTCACTCGAGAGACTTAATTTATTGATATTCGTTAAAAACAACGAGACGAGCATAAGTGAAGATGAGGATAAGAGGAGGAGAAAAATCGAAAAAGACATCAGAGAATTGCTTACTATAGTGACGACGATCAGCATGCAGAACAGAACAGCCAGCACGAGATCTGTCCAATTGGCTAGATAATATTCCGTTTGCGTATCGCGTTCATCCGTCGGTACTGTTCGATTCCATTGATAAACGTCCCCATGGTAATCAGCCGTTTGATTCGCCATGACGTTTATCCACGATCCATTGATGACGATTTCTGTTCACCGGTTCGTACGTTTCCGGACATCGTTAGGATCTCTGAAAGTACGTCAAATATAACAACGTCAAATAATTCTATTCGATCATGTCGAATTTATTAATGAATCGTTTTTCATTTCGTTTAACTTTCTTTGTTTTTTATTTTTTTATTATTATTATTCATATATATTTCTTATTTATTTTTATTTTAATTCCATCCATTTTCTTGTTTGTGAATTCATTAAAATAACGAACAAAAACTTAATTCGTACTATTGGTTCGATATTCGTATACGTAACATATGATATTCATGGAATCCAAGACGGACTTATTATACGTAAACCGTGTATTGGCCCAAATAAAAATCTATTGTTTATTCAAATTAACTTGCTTCTAATTGAATTAAAAGCTGTATTCGAATGTAACTCCTATAAAGTAACAAGCGATTGTTTGTAACTAATTTCTAGTTTCGATTGTTTCAAATCGAAAATTCGGTATGTTCGTTGGAACTGGATAAATACGCAGTTTTATATATATGTATATATATGTACATCGCCGCCGGAAGAAAATCGAAATCGAATCGATTTAGGTAGTTGTTTAAAATTGGCTAGCGTGTCCTTCGTATATTTTCACAATTTTAAGAGGACTCATGGTTAAGATATCTTCGTTTGCATATGCACAGCTTGCAAAAGGTTTACATATTTACGATCACTTTATTCTATTACTGGAAAGGTAAGATAGGGGACACGAAAGGAAGAGAAAGTTGTGAGGAAAACTATATGCAAGAGGTAAGAAAAGGAAAGAAGAAATTGAAGGAAGATAGAATGAAGAAGGGGTAGCAAAAAGGCAAAAGGTTACTTGTGTAGCAGAGTTCCTGTTTGCATACGTAAATATATATACATACGCTATTTTCTTACGGAAAAGTTGTCTGAAATGTAATACGAATGAAAGTAGACGGATATACACATATGTACATATACATAGTGTATCTTAATATCTATATATATATAGTAAGAAAGGATCTTTTTTAATTGCAAAGTTAACACCATAAAAGATCATATGAGAAATATATTTTATATGAGCTTCATTTATAAAAATCCTAAATATATAAATATATTTAATTTCTTACGGATATCAATTTACTAAATATCAAGCGCATTTTATTTTTATGTAACCCCCGATGACAAAGAAACGACCATCATGCCCTACGTCGTTGAGCAGACGATTAATTTACAACCCACTGAAAATGAAGCACAATGAAGTCGAGAGAAGGTGGTTGGTCCGAGTTGGCACGAATTTGCTATAAAATATAGAATGCTTCCGGACAGAAGGTGAATTTTCTCTCCCGTGAATTTAATTATCTGGAAGCAATGGTGAAAGAGAAAAGGAAGAGAGAGAGAGAAGAGAGAGAGAGAGAGAGAGAGAGAGAGAGAGAGAGGAAGAAAGAGAAAAAGAGACAGAAAAAAAAGAGACGGAACAAGAATAAAGGAAAAAAAACCAAAAGTAAGCAGCAACGAATAAGGATAATAATAAATTACTCATCTGCCACAAATTCGTAGATACGTTTCGCGCATGTGGTGCCAAGTGAAAAGCAGAAACAGAGGCTTCGTGATATCGTAATTAAAATTAATCTTTCGATTTATGAGTTGGTTCAAGCGAATTTTCGGTAATCCCTTAGAGAACGTCAGTCAAACGTTAGAAATTTTTTAAGATGGACTAGAACACGTACGTTATAAATATTTCATACTTCTCAACTATCACGACTATAAATAATTGCTGGTCGGATCATAATTAATTTCATTAATCGGATTTAATCGTACACAAACACACACACACACACACACACATACACATACATTCATACACATATCCATTATGTAAAAAGTCTTCCTACTGAACGTGCTCTCGCGTAAGATCGTTTCATAAAGAGCGATCGATTCGTTGTTGGACTGCTCATTAATTCGTGAACCCATTGAGATGAGAAGTTCTACCGCCCTATTATAACGGGTGTACTGATTAAACAAAATAACGTAAAACTTATGAATTCTCTATATCAGCACATTTTCAAGCCTTGGTATTTTTTCTTATTTCTTTTTTCTTTCCCCTAGAATATGAAAATTCTTAAAAAGAATTTCTATAGATCTTTTGTATGTACAATCTATCTTCCTCCTATTATATATTAATGAATGGCAAAATTTATTCTATCGGAGGAACTAATGATAAAAGTTATTCTGTGCTAGTAGTTTCCCGAGTGAATCTGAACGAGTTAATATACCTTCAGCTAATGGCGCAAAATGATTAATAGTTTCGCAAGATTGTCGAGTAAATTTAAACATATACACATATATCAAGATTAGCCCAAGAGTAAAGTAGTACTACCGTTAGTCTACATCTGGTCTTAGTATTATAACACATTACTGTTTGGTCATTGGCTTGTGGCGTATATGAATATTGTTCTTCCATGACATTTTGAAAGTTAGTTTAACAACGTTAGGAGAATTTACTGCTCATAGAGTTAATAGTATGATTAAAGAGAAAGATAGAAGAGAAATAGAAATTGTCAATTCAGATGTCTTAAGAGAGTACACATCGTTAAGACTTCGTTTACGATGTTGCGTTAATAAGAAGGTTAAGTAACTTCTTGTTGAAGTAACTTCAAATTTTATTGACTTCAAAGGAAACGTCGACTCAAAAACTTGTTTTATTTAATTTTACTTAATTATATAACTTGACTATTTCCATCTTCGATTCGAAGATATTTTTTCTATTTTTTTACTTAACAATTATTTAAAAATTTTTCATTCTTCCAAGAAAAAAAACGAATATTTTGTGAAGGATAACGTGAAAGTAAGACGACTTACCATAGATATGGATAGATGTGTGTATGCATCTGTGTTCTCTGATCTCTCGTAGTTTGTTTTGCACGAGAAAGAGATCCATAGAAAACGTTTGAATAGGACGAAGTTCGTTTTTCAAGTATCAATTAATAGAAATCTCTTTTTTCCTTTGACTTAGTTTGAAATAATGTCAAAGAAAAAGATGTTGAGAGGAGAAGAGAGAAAGAGATAGAGAGACAGACAGAAGCTACGTTCATTTGTAACGCTGGCATACTATCTTGAACGTATCTTGTGGTTATCTTGCGTCTAGTCACGTTTGAGAAGTACTCTCCAGAATAACATTGTATTCATCCGCCTGGATGCATAATAAGAACGTTATAAAATGAGAGGAAAGGAGACGAAAGAGTAAAAATAAGGGAGAAAAAACCTAGCTGAAAGAGAAAAAAGATGAAGCGCGTTCGCTCGCGAAGGACTTGTGTTGTAAAATAGTGTCAAGTCAGTAAGTATCACGAGAGAAAACGTAAAGAGCCGTAAAGGTATAATATTTAAAAAAAAGTCTATATAGATAACATCATGATAACTTATGTCATATTTTTATTAATTAATTAATTAAAAATATTGCCGATCTTACCTATGGTTTTTTACATGTTTTAATTCTTCACAAAGAAATCTAAAATCGTCAAAACGAAAATTAAAATCATCATTTATATTTTCCTGAAATTTTGTTTACTGACATGAGAAGTAATTCAGAAAATGTGGCGGATCGATGAACCGATGATAGAGAAATTCTTGAGCACGAGTCACTGATATAAAGGGTGATGGAAAATATAAGCGGTTCACTTATAAATAATGTGTGCTTTGGAGGGTGGTTCTGCCTGATGCTAGATAGTTGATGCAAGGAGAATGGTTTACAATATATAAAACGTGTCTCATGAAATTGGAACGAAGTTCGTTGAAGGATAGAATGATACGATGCTATCGGGAAATTGCGAAAAATCGCTAACAATCGATAGAAATGGAGCGAAAAAGAGAGAAAGAATAACCATTGGTTGCATCGAAAACAATCGTAGTATATGTGTGTATGTGTTTGTATATGTACGTACGCATATATATATGTATTTATGTATGCATGTATATATGCGTATATATATATATTTCTTTTTTTTTGTCAAAGAGATGACGAATTTTTGCAAAGAAATTTTCTCTTATTTTGATTTTGATATACGTACATACATAGAAACGTATATAATCCACTAAAGATATTCGATCTATTTTATTGGTCTCACTTATTTATCTCTTCCACTTTTCCTATTTCAGTTTTTCAGTCTTCCTTTCTCTCTCTCTCTCTCTCTCTCTCTCTCTCTCTCTCTATTTCTCTTTCTCTCTCACTCTCACTCTCTTGCTTCAAAATTTATTTTTAAATCGATATCTACTTATCTGTAAAGAGATCGTTACGTATCGGTCTATCCTTTCGAAAGAATATATTCTTCCTGGATTTTCTTCTCTAGTAAATTTCTACGAGTCGACTCAATAAACTTTTTCTTCAGAATGAATGTGATGGTACCCGTAAGATAAGCTAAGAGAGAATAGAAGATAGACAAGTAGATACTAACGAGACCGCGGAAGCAAAAATTTCAGAAATATTTTAAACTCTTTTATATATCTATATAGTATATAGTATTAGAAATAAATATTGTAATATAACGAAAATATTATAGAAATAAAAGATTTCATGAAGTAAAATATCCCGTGTTTTATTATTCCATGAAAACATTTTGAAAACTTTTATCATTAATATCTTTTTCGTAGATTTCACAGAAAACATATTATTAGTTTTGTGTGCCAAGCTATTTTCGTTACTAATTTTGTATATTCAACGTTGTTGAATATTTGTACATTATTCTCTATAAATATCTCTTTGAGAGAAGTTAGTAATAGTTTGAGGGAAGTTAACCACACGAAATTGAATGACTCTTCAAATGTTTGCAGTTTCGTGCTTAGATACTATAACGCATTAGTTAGGAAATCGTTGTGATCGTCTGATAACTAGAATTATCGAGGAGTACAATGCAATAAGTCTATTTTTTAGATTTATTGTTAGCGAAACGAACTATGTAAAAACGCATAGCCTTGAAAGTAATCACTGAGAATAATAACTAGAAAGACAAAAGAGATGAGAATGACGTCAAAACTGAATCGATAAGGACAACTAAAATGATATAT